CTGTCTCTACCTCTGTTTTTGCCTCTCTCTCTCTCTCTCTCTCTCTGTCTCTCTGTCCCTCTGAGAGTCTCTGTCTCTACCTCTGTTTTTGCCTCTGTCTCTCTCTCTCTCTCTCTATCTCTCTCTACCTTTCTCCCTCCCTGTCTGTCTCCCCTTTCTCTCACTCTATACTTTTCTCTCGAGATTCCGTCTCTCTAGATCACAACCACGGTGCGAATATCACACAGGTGCGCTGCCAGCTTTTACCACCCTAGTTACGCGCGGAGCAAGCAATACCGTATTATAGAAGTATAGCTGCTAATTGACGCATCGTCCTTGCTTGGCATCTACCCACCCCTTCCCCGCAGCCTGACGCTGGTCTTCGGCATGGCACAGTACCCACGATAATATATATAATAAATTATTGTCGGCTCTTTGCGCATATGGTAACAGCTGCATTGGTACTTGCTGCTGCTCGCTCTAACTGCATGGATGCTGTCTCAGTCAGCGGTCTATTCCGCGCGGCGGCGGTGCGATTGTAGGTCAACCCGTAAGTCGATTACACACGCACAGGTATATATGGCTCTCGTGCGTTTGCTCCACTATACCGTGCACGAGTGATGTGTATATACATGTCCCGCATTCGCCACGCGAGGGAGGGGTGGTAATTATACGCGCGTATTGGGTCAGACGGCACTGATTTAAGCACTGGTCGATTTCTTCCGGCCTCGATGATCGGTGGTCGAGCGGAGAGAGAGAGAGAAAAGAGAGAGAGGGAGGGAGAAAGAGAGAGAGAGAGGGGGAGAAAGAGAAAGAGAAAAAGAGAGAGAAAGAGAGAGAAAGTGAGAGAAAGAAAGAGAGAGAGAGAAAGATAAAAGAGAGAGAGAGAGAGAGATCGGTGGTGTTTAGCAAACTTTAGCATATGCGCTATGGATTTCCATTTGTTCACGAGGTATAAGTGTTGTTGTTGTTGTTGTTGTTGTTGTTGTTGTTGTTGTTGTTGTTGTTGTTGTTGTTGTTGTTGTTGTTGTCGTTGTTTTTGTTTTTGTTGTTGTTGTTGTTGTTGTTGTTGTTGTTAGGGGACAAATGTTGTATGAACGCGTGCACATGTAAGGCATTCCGTTCGACCATGACGTCCGGACGTATTGTAACGTGTATCGACTCAGGTCTAGGTATTCACCAATAACGACCCAGATATGTCAAGTCCCAAACGACCGCTGCGAAATATGAATGCTTATATTGCAAATCGTTTTATATACTTATATTATCTTAATCAAATAATGAACAAACTATACTTTACTTAATGGACCAACTAATACCAGCGTCTGTACATGAAAGTCCTGTGTCTCAACGGATTATTTTGCTAATTAATGTGATTCATACGCATTACGTATTACATTATCAACACGTCACATTTCAGACAATATAGCCCCTCACCCCACACTCACCACCGCGGTGACAAATGAGTTATTAGCACATTAAATCTCTCCTGCGCTGTCAGCTATACCGTATAACAATTCTATAGACAGCCAGCCGCATTACTTTGCGTAACAATGACAATCACGTGACCCAGAATGCATACGACATCGTTGGCGTATTTACACTGGGTGGAGGGTGAGGGAGGGAGGGGGAAGGGGAGGGAGGGGGTAAGCTGGTGGCACAGATCATGCTTCCGTGACGATCGCTGTCATCGGTGTCACAATGTGAAGGATTAACGAGGGCGAGTGCCAGGCGCCCTGCGTCACTATATATCCGTGCGTAAACGTACCTGTAGCTATAAACCGCCCGCCTATTGCGTAACCTATATCTACCTGCAGCGTAAGATCGGGCGTCATCGTGTGTGCGTGCGTGCGCGCGGGCGTGTGCGCGTTTGCGTATGTGTGTGTCTGTGTTATGTGCGTGCGTACATATGTGCGTGCATACGTGTGAGTGTGTGTGTGTGTCTTTCTCTGTGTATGTGTGTGTGCGTGTGCGTTCGCGTGTGTGTGTGTGTATTCGGGTATGTGTGTACGTCCATGTGTGTAGATGTGTCCTTGTGTATATGTGTGTGTGTCTCTGTGTGCGCGCGCGTGCGTTCAAGTGTGCGCGTCGTTTAATTTCCTCCGCGCAAACAGAGGTCATGCAATCACTCGCGTGTGTGTGTGTGTGTGTGTGTGTGTGTAGCCACCGCGCGATCGATAGCGCGTCGAGTCAGCGAGTGGCGAGTCAGCAGCAGCCACCAGTGAGCGGCGAGTCAGCAGCAGGCGAGTCAGTCAGCAGCCGCCACCAGCGAGCACATACATGTTACATGCTCGCGGAGGTATGCACTCTCCGTGAGTGCCCTCTGTCTAGTTACAACTGCTAGACATATTTTTGTGCATTGAAACTTTCCTTCTGTTCTTCGTGCGTGTATTTATTTTACGTTAGGAGACAAAAGTAAGGACGACCTTAAAACTTCTTCATCTCGGTTTCACGTCAACTTGTTCCACACTGTCGCTAGCAGATGTGTGTTTGCATAGGTGCCAATGATATCGGCAGGCAATCACTAAGGGTGACCGAACATAAGAAACTACGAGAATCCCTATGTATGCAACTGAGTATGAAACGGACGGACAAGCTTGATTGCCTGCGAGCTGGCACAGATTAGATCCACCCACTTAAACGAGAAAGAAAACCGCGCGTGGCGTGTGTGTGTGTATTCTCCATGTTTGTCGTGTGCAGACAAGAGGCGCAGCCTTGACAACGTCTCACGCACCGACGCGAATACAGATGGCTGCTATTATGGAATAGATTGCCGTAAATTTGTTCTCGTTCCCGACCGAGTGTTCACGCGTGAACGCGCGAGATTGCCCCTGACGCAGGCGCCGTCACATTCCGCGAGGCGTATAACCACGACGACGCGG